CCTTTTTATTGTTAATACGGTAATGAAATTTCACCCTACTTCCCTTATTTTTAAGAAATAAGGCTTTTGAAATCGCCTTGCTCTCTGTGTACCCAACCTAAAACCTGAAAATCCGAATAGTGAAGAAAGAAGAGACGGCCATTAGAAAGCAACGGTTTGGTAAATATTTCCCTTTGGCATCCAATATACACAGTGTTTCTTACGCGGTCCATGTAGTGTCAATTGTTCAATACGTAAAGTTAAAACGTAAAGTTATGCCTGTAACAGGCCGTGGAGGCCCATAGGATTGTGAGACATTCGGCTCACAGATGGCGGTAAGGTTGTTAGCCTTACGGGCCGGCTGCTTTTTACCCCTCAGGAAGATTCCTGGTACTCATTTCTGTTAGAGGTTGAGTCGACCTCAGGGCCACAGTGCGGCTGGAATGATTAAGTAAATTAAAAATGAATCACCTCCTCAGGACTCGAATCTGCGACCTTCCGGCTTGTAGCATAGTGACTCAACTAACTACGACACCGCATGCCCTAAATATTCAATACATAGTGAAAGGACAATAAGGGAGTAGTTCTTTCTAGATCTTATTTGGTTCAGTAAGAAATGGGGAAATTACTGCCCAGCTGAGTAACTGTTAGCATCTAAAAAGAATATATGCCATATAGTTAGTTATTGTAAGCTTTAAACTTACTGATTAGTGAAATTTAAAATCCCTTTCGAGTTGTTATTCTGAATGCACACCCACACACACACACACACACACACGCCAGCGCATCCTTGTGCAGCTAGGTGGAAAAACGTATGAATATTGGAAACATCAAAGGGGTGAATTTTAATTTTATGACAAACTGAATCTCTGAACCTCCGTCTGCACTAAGTAATATTTATACACAGACTTCCAAATTTATTATAGTTATTACTCTGAAATCCTAATAAAAATTGCAAATATCCTCACAGGTTTGCTACCCAAATCCGTGCTGAATTCCTCTTTTTACATTCTTAAATCCTGAAGCCTTTTGCAACGCTGCTCCGTGTTTTGTCACTGATGCTAAACGAATGTGAAGTATTGGATTTCCCAAATACATTTCCTCAGCTGAATTATTTTACATATATGAAGCAGCTGAAGAGAAAGAAGAGGACAGGAAACGAAATGAATTCGTAAAATACAAAAGGGAAAAGTCACCTACAGGGAACTGGCATGTTAAAGATATTTATCTGGTTTCATTATAAAAGTAATTTACTTGATCAAACCTGAATAAGAATGAATTAGCATTCATAAAGACAAGCTGAATAATAAATACACGTACTGATAAGGGAGAGGAATGTTGCAATTTAATTATTTACGTAATTCAATGTCCTTCGCCAAGAGTGAAATTACCAGTATTAGTTTCCCTCTCCGCAATTGCTAAATCAATGTGTAGTTCTCATACAGCCAAAATGGAAGCTGACGATGATCTCCTGTCTCTTGAAATACGAATCACTCATCGTCATCAATCATGGAGCTGAGCCCTTCTTGAGAAGCCGCCAATTGTGCAGCTACTCAAGAAATTCCCAGCATATTACGGAACCCAAATGTTCATTACCGTTTCCATATAAGCCCTCCACTGGTCCCTATCCTGAGCCAGATCAATCTAATTCATATCATCCCATCCCATTTAAGGTCCTTTTTAATATTGTCCATGCACCTATGTCTTGGTCTTCCTAGCGGTCTTTTTCTTTCTAGCTTTCCCACTAATATCCTATATGCATTGTTCTTCTCCCCTATTCGTGCTATATACCTTGCCCATCTCATCCTCCTTGACTTGATCATTTTAACTATACTTGGAGAAGAGTACAAATTACGAAGCTCCTCATTGTGCAGTTTTCTCCACCTTCCTGTCACTTCATCCCTCTTCGGTCCAAATATTCTCTTCAGCACACTGTTCCCAAACACCTTCAGTCTATGTTCCTCCCTTAATGTCAAACACCAAGTTTCACAACCATACAGAACCACAGGCAGAATTATAATGTTGTACATTCTAATTTTTACGTTTTTCGACACCAGACGAGAAGGCATATGTTCCAATTTGAAAAGAAAGTCTGGACCAATATCAAAGATACCCTACGGTCTTTTGTTGAACTCAGCCCATGTAACCCTTCCTAGAAGCTTACAGATGTGGAATCTGTTGTGAACATTTCACCATTATACTTTAAAAATAACAGGAATACCAATTACACAGCACAATGAATACCACTTTTTCCGATAACACATAAAAATACGCGGTTTCTGGAAATACTGATTACAATGGTCAGAAGAATGAGAGCAAAAATATTGCAAGGAACACGGTTTTCTTTCGATGTATCGTATGACAGACATGTGACTTCGGCTGAGGGACCGGACAGTGAAATTGTCCCTCATCCCAAACTAGTGCTGGGCTTTAGAATGCTTATTATATTTCAGCATCCCGTTGCAGGCATTTTCTTTATTGTTATAGCACCCGCCAATAAGGCAACAATAATTTTAACATATAAAAGGCAATTAAAATGTGTTTCTCACTAAAAGTGCTACTTTAATAATTTACGATGTTGTTAAAATCATAATATGGCATTATGGCACTAAAAGTATAACTTATACACTAAAAGCGATTATCACATTATTTAAATGTCTCTAGTTCATTTAGTAATTAGTAATTAGTAATTAGTAGACATTTTAGTAATCTGATAATCACTTTTAGTGTATAAGTTATACTTTTAGTGTCTTAATGACATTTTATGATTTTAACAACACCGTAAAATTAAAGGTACACTATTTTGAATTGTTTCATTTTGGTCCGTTACACTATCAATCACAAAGTTAATAGAAGGTCCGTCGAGTGTAACAATTTGTAGGTCACTTTTTATTATTATTTCTGCCTTACATGTTTCGGTTTGACACAACCATCATCAGAGGCTCTTGCTACAATTATGGAAACACTGTCACTGTTTTTGATGTTCACAATTTTGTTTGTCATGTGGACGTTGCTACGATATGTTGACGTGTAAAAGCACAAAACATGCTAAGATAGTTGAGTACACTCTCAAGTTCTCACTTTTCATCCGAACCTATTTTTAAGTTAAAACGCTAAAATGTTAAAATATTTTATATAAAATGCTGAACTCCTCCTTGTTAATTCATCCCGAAGATGGGAGACGTCAGCTTGAGTTTGTATGGCTTATGGTTTGATATGTTCCTGTGTGATGTGTGCTGTGTTTCCTGCGTGCTGTGTGCTGTGTTTCCTGCGTGGTCCGTGCAAAGTGGTTATAAAGGAGTGTTCAGAAGGAGCAGTGGAGAATACAGTCCAGTTCGAGACGTCAGTCTGCTGCCTGGAGATGAGCTTGGAATTGAATTGAATTGAGTTGGCAGCTTCAGAACAAAGACGCGAAAGGAACGAGGCTGTGAGAAGAAGGCTTCATGTGTGATGCAAAGTGAGATTGCTATAAATCCGTTGCCAGGATACGACTAGTGAGGACTGAGAAGCCTTGTGCGTGTGTAACGGTGAACTGTGAAGTGTGTAGGTCAGCGATTGCGCTGTATTGCCTGTAGCCCCGAGTTGTGTGAATAAGATCATCCAATTCAAACCCCGTCTTATAAGTCACCCCTAACACGTGACAATACCTATTCTCATACTGTGGTTAAAATAATTGCAATAAACGCAACAGAGAAACTCACTCTTTTAGCACAAAATTCAATACACACTCTAATATGATACAATGGCGACATCTAGAATCAGCACATCGGAATTAATTTGAAAATGTCGTTTTCTTCCACGCTACCGAAACAATCTTCACTCAATTTATTTGCACGATCTTGATTACTGTTAATTACCGTCGTCCTGGATATGACAACATGCAGATGTTTCTGAGGAATAAACTGCAACCATCATCAGTGTAGGAGATGGAGGTAGCACAATACTCCGACATGCCGATAAATTTGTGCCACGGCATCATATCCAAAAACAATACTCTTCACTCTGACCGCCTTGAGGATCTCAAGCCATACACATCGCAGACGATAATATGGAGGGTATGAGATAAAAGTGGGGACATGAGAAATGCATACAAAATTCTAGTCAGGAAACGGAAATGGGAGAAACTAATTGGAGTATCTGGGTCTATATGGAAGGACAGGGGAATACTGATATATCTCTTGAAAAGATATGGAATGGGATGCGGGCTGGATTCATCTGGCTCAGGAAAGGGTCAGTTACGTCCTCTTGCAAGCATTGTATAAATTTTCCTGTCCCATAAGACGTGATATAATTCTCAAGTAAAGTAAAGGTATCCCTGTTACAGGCCGTGGAGGCCCATAGGGTTGTGAGATGTTGAGGTTCCCACATTTTCTAGACAATCGGTTCATAGATGGCGGTAAGTTTGTCAGCCTTACGCGCCGGCCGTTCTTTACCCCCAAGAATATTCCTGGTACTCATTTATGTTAGAGGCTGAGTAGACCCCAGGGCCATAGTGCGGCTGGAAGGATTAGGTCAATTGAAAAAAAAAGCCAATGACCTCATCGGGACTTGAACCCGGGACCTTCCGGCTTGTAGCATAGTGCCTCAACCAACTACGCTACCGCGTGCCCTCCATAATTCTCAAGTAGCTGAGCGTATTAGCTTCTCACGGTCTCTGTTTTAAGGAATCAGTGAATACTAGTTAATACATGGGCACTACATACTTGTGCTTTCCCAAAGACACCAGATTTATTCTATACGGTATCAATCAGGCGTTTTAGAGTTTACAGAGCTAGTCTTTTTACACGTGAAAATACCATACGATATAAAAACTCTCCAAGAACATAAAATATAAAGATAAAAAAAAACCCTGCAAACTTTCCTTGAGCACGTAGTTGTGATAAAATGCTAACAGATGTCACATGCTGTCACATATACAAGTTTTGAAAACGCCGAAAAGTTCAATACGTGGCATTTATAGGGCTGAACGTGACCATACAAGGCTACATATTTCAGACAAAGCTATGAAAAAATTGACTTACCTCTTCCCAGACGAGCTCTTTTCTGACTCCAGGTCTAAGGTTCATAATCTTGAGCTCTGCAGCCTTCAGAACGCCATCTTGAGTGAACTCCACGTTCGGTTTCCCAAAGTCGCCTTCAACACTGACGTTCCTCAGGTACCTGCGTTCGAAACCTGTCTGTTATCCCTACATGTCTAATGGAACTCCACTTAACAATGTCTCAAGACAATGCAACATATCAGTCGTTACAAGTGGACTGCAGTGGACACTACCTAGCTTGATGAATGAATGCTTATTATGTTCATTAAAATTTCCAGGTTGGGGTACTGGAGTTCAACTGCCTAGTCCTGATCTCCACTAAATTGCTCAAATTCATATTCATATAATATAGAACCCCTGAAAGCTGGAATAAGAACAGAAACGGATGTACATTTGCTAGGCAACGGATATCACAGAATAACAGAGGGATTATTTGAGATGGTGACCTATATTGCGACCGCCTGGAAGTCAGAAATGAGTCGACATTCTTTTATCCCGTGTGGAGGCGGGATTGAATACCTCCACCTTAGCCCTGCTAGTTGTAGGAGGCGACGAAAAGGGAAGCCTCAAATCTGAGAGATTAAAATAAGGTCGCGAATCTCACGAGACTCGGACCCGAGAATGACTGCGCTGGCGAGGACCAGCAGCAATTGTAAATGATAGACCGTCCTCTCGTCAGAGAGAGCGCCCCACACAAAGAACCCCAAAACTGCCAGAGAGTAATTAAAATCTGGTCGTTAAGCCCCATATGGGCTCTTTATTCCAAGAGAGACCGACTAACTGACAGTCGGTCGTAATATAAGACTCAGACTCGTAAGGGAGTTCAAGGTGTGAGCAGGAATTCTTTGGTCATCATTCATCACAATGGAAGAGAAGACGCTCGTGATCCAGTAAGGAATGGAACGAGTCTTAGGGTGTCATTCACTGCGATCTGTCATAACTGATTGTAACTGCAAAGAATCGCCAGTAACTCCAATCATCGAATCCAGAACCCTTTATTATTAGTCACATAAACTCCGCATACATGACAGTATGGTAGCATGTAGACCCGTTGTTAAGTAATGATTCTGTAAATAAAGGTCTTGTCGCAAGAGATTCGTAGCATGCCCCAATGGAAGAACTGGAAAAACGGTGTTCTCTACGCGGTCAGTGCGACAGGTACGGGTTGCTACAATAGAACTGTTGGGAAAAGGGATTTCTGTGCGGTCTGTACCGACGTGTTATAAGCTGGACTTGTATACCCTTTATTGAGACAGTCGCCGACCAGTAAGGACGTGAACACGGAAGTTGAGGAAGCTACGGTGTTTGAAGCCGTTACCAGGCGACAACCGGTGGAGATAAAGCAGACTAAAAAGTCGTAGTACGTGCTGTAGTGAATTGTAAAGCAAGTGAATTAGCGATAACGCTGTAATTACTTGTAATTACGATCTGTAAGTGTGCAATAAATCCAATTACCAATCCGAACCCCGTATATAATCACACTCATGCCCGTGATAGTGCTGTTTATTATATTTTAGATTTTAATCCCTGTAATATACGGCACTGTGGGCTTTAAGCCACACTATGATCAGTGGAAGTATAAGGCCCCACTTTTACGTCTAGGGGATTTTTTTTATTAAGGTTGTATGCCCATTGGCCGATATTTTCTGAGTTGTAACGACGTGTACTTCGGCAGAAGTTCGCATTGCTGAGTGTTTCTTCCTGGTTTCCTACAGCTCTTATTCATGGACCCCGATATCAACTCGATATTATCTGCCGAAACGTCGGCGAATTTCTTCCGAAGTACATGGCATTACAAACCAGAAGATCATAATTTTCTAATTGAATGTAGGATTTTCGATTTTGACGGCGGTAAAACTAAAGGTATCCCTGTAACGGGCTGCGGAGAATACCGTAGGTTTGTGAGACGTCGAGGTTCTCAAATTTTCTGGACAGTCGGCTCACAGATGGCTTTGAGATTTTCAGCCTTACGCGTCGGCCGGCCTCCCTTTACCCTGAGGAATATTTCTGGTACTCATTTCTAATAGAGGCTGAGTTTGAAGGTGGTAATATGAACGGTATTATCGTCTCGTCTGGAACGTATTGGGGTCGCACTGAAGTCCACACGGCCTCGTCCTTCCTGTTCGCATCTGGCTTGGGTTACTTTTGGAACCTGAAGAAGGATGTGATAAGTTCCTCCAAAATTTCCGTGAAATTCTATCAAACTACGCAGATTTACAATCCAGAACATTGTTCTCTTCATATGAAATGTAAGATATGATATTCTCATGGCATTTACTAGGAAACGTACTATCTCCTATGATCTGACGTCATGTAGTAAGACTGATAGATAAAAATGTCATCCATTAAAATGAGAGTAAAACAAATTGGCCCTATCACTCTACTCATAATCTCTGGATTTATTCATTTCCTGGTTTTCTGCTATTCTGAACGATCATATCAGTTGCAGTGCAGCCAACGTAAGATTAAGATTTAGTCATTTCCTGCCAGAGAACGTGTTTATATTGATTCAATACTCGTTGTGAACGAAGCAGAGATGCAGTAGACTCTGCTGAATGAGAAACCCCACAATTCCATATCGGTTTATTGAAAGGGGAAAAGTTTATAAGTACAAAATAAAACAGACGAACACACTAACTATACAGAACTGAGCCCTACTTTAGGAGCCGCCAGTCCCACAGCTACTCAAAAAGGAATCCTCCCTCTATTGAAGTATTGTTCATGTCAGAAACAAACCGACAAAAGTGTTTAAACACTGAAACAGAGTTGTGGCTAAGCTTTGTTTATTCCCAAGCTGAATTTTTCACGAAAGAAAGTGATTGAAGGTGATGACAAGTGCGCAACAGAGTCAGACTAGCCGTGGGAGATCCAAACTATAAACACGATGCGAAAAAACATTTTTTTCCGTCCATGGTGAAAAAGTTATTAACTAATAAAATATAAGATGATGAAATAACAATGCAAAGATATTTCAGGACATCAAAAGATTTTTAACATACTGTTTTAACTTACAAATATAAATCACTCCGTCCAATATGACCTGTAAGTTTTTTACTACATGAAAACTTAACACCCTTACATGTTTCGGTCTCTGTGGACCACCTTCAGAGGGCAAACATCACTACAAATAGGAAACCACCATCACATAATTTGTTTAGACGTAAAGTACGTACACTTATATACTACAATACATAGTATACGAAATAGAACATTTCACAAACACAACAGTTTCCTGGGAATGTAAAGTCTTTAAAAAATTGTATAAAACTTCTTGATGCTAATTAAATTTTTTTTTGGATTGTCAATGATTAAAATTCGTGAACCATGCAGGCTCGTGTTCGTCCTCCCATCGTCCCTCTTATATGGGGCAGATAATGTGCCACCTGGCTCTCTTGATGTGGAGGTTATGCAAATATATTATGGGTATTTTACTGTTTCAATGTTAATACACTCTATATATATAATTTATATATATGTTTGAGGATATGTTATGTCCTACCTTTATATCGTCCAGGCTTTGCTCGTGGCTGCTGTGTTGTTTTCACTGTTCAGAAGTGTGTTGTGTCACATGAATTTATGCTTGTAGTGATTGTGACGTCAATATGGGCGTGTTCTGATGATGTATTATGAGGTCGAATTTGTAATTGTTAGTGTGACGGACCAGAATGAAACAAATCAAACTGTTTTAACTTATTTAGAGGCATGAAAGAAACAAAACGCCGGTCACGGTAGCCAAGCGGTCTAAGGCATGAACTGTCTTCCTTCGCGCGGAAGCCTGGATCGTGGGTTCGAGTCCCACACAAGGCATGGATGTTTGGTATGTGTATGTGTTTATTCAGTGATTGTGTTGTCCTGTGCTTAAGTAGAGGCCTTGCTCCAGGCTGATCACCCGTTCAGGAAGTCCTACCGTCTGTAAAATGATCATGAAAATGAAAAGCAGAGAGTCGCCTCTTTGAGATAAGGTGTCTAAAGATAAAATTTTGACAACGTGATTGACCTGGCGCCGATCACAATGGTCGCGTGATATAAGACATGAATTGTCTTCGCCCGCTCAAACATTAGGATTGTGGATTCGAATCCCACTGCGTTTACTCTGTGTTATCTTGTGTGTAGGTAGTGGCCTTGCGGCCGGCTGATCCCACGCCAAAGGAGTCTTACCGTCCGTCGGTATGATTAAGAAACTACAAAAGGCCGCGCCATAGCTCAAGCGGTTAGTCGCTGGCTTCCCACCGCGGCGGCCCGGGTTCGATCGCGGGTCTGGTCAAGTGGGATTTGTGGTGGACAAATTTTAGATTTGAAAGAACAATTTCGGAAGCGATTTGCTGATTTGGATGCCAGTGCTCAGGAAATTAGATTGTTTCAAAATCCGTTTGACTATGATGCTGCAGATGTGACAATTCAAATTCAAATGGAAATTATTGCTTCAGGAAAATTATCATATTAAAGACAAATACAAGGAAGGAAATTTAATCGAATTTTATAAATTTCTGAAGTCTGAGCAATTTCCAAATTCAAAGAAATTTGCTTGTAAATTTATCTCCATTTTTGGGACGACATATCTGTGTGAAGAAACTTTCTCCCAGATGAAGTACATCAAGTCGAAATACAGGGCAAATTTATCCGATGAACATTTAAAGTCGCTACTTGTGATTAGCGTTTCAAAATTTGAACCTCAATTCAATCAGATTTTAAGAATGCAAAAAGAGTTCCATCATTCACATTAATTGTTTTATTATAATTTGTGATGAAAATATGAGCATTTGCTGCTACTGTCTGTTGTCATTAATACACGATAATTTATTCTCACGTACTTTGTATTTAGTTTATGAAATTCTGTGCTTTCAATAAAACTCATATACCTAGAGTTATTAATTACTCATTTTATCCGGCCCGTTGAAAGTGCTGAATTACCTAATGTGGCTCGCGTTTCGAAAAGTTTGGAGACCCCTGCCCTATATGAACTACAGGGGCCCGAAAAAATAATGGAAAAACAAAGAAACTAAGGAATATAAATTTCTGTGTTGACTACATTGACCACCCAGTCTCATGAGGATAACTGAGGATCTATTTCAAGGAAATAGCGGCTCCGGTCTAGGAAACCAGAATTAACGGTCTTGGGGA